CAACACTTAAATCTCAACATGCCACAAACACCAGCTAAAAAACAGTAACACAGCAACATTTCAATATGTTCGATGCTTCTGCATATACTGCATATCAATTCTTACTACTAGCATTCATTTCATCACACCACAACACATCACAAAACAACAGCACATGGAATTCAACATACACAGATTCTCTGATTCTTCTGTTTTCAGTGTTGGCAAATTTTACACTGCTTTTGGAGAATTTAAGATGATCCTGGACTATTGTCAACTTTAATCTCTGAATTTGGGATCTCAACAACACAGTTTGTGTTTCAAAACCTGATGACTAATAGAAAGTGCTTTTGTCAGAATTCACAATTTGAAGTTTGGTGGGAACATATTGCACAATAACCTTTTTTGGAAGAACTTGATTACGTATGTGTAGTATCAATGTCAATATGTTTTGTTCTTGCGTGAAAAACTAGATTTGATGCCAAAGCTCCAGCACTCACATTGTCACACCAAATGACAGGACAAGTGTTTAAAGACACCCCTATTTCAGTAAATAACTGTCCAACCAGGCCAATTCAGTTGCTGTTTGGGCTAGTGCTCTGTATTCGCCTCTGTAGATGATAATGCCACTACTTTTTGCTTACGAGAACTCCATTGAACCAGATTGGACCTAGGTACAACAAATATCCACGTAGACCGTCGATCATCTAAATTACCTCCCCATCTGCATCGGTATAACATTCAACCTTAGAAGGCATTGTCTAAACAGCAAACCATGGAATTGAGTACCTTTAAGATACCTTAGAACTCTTTACACGCCTCCATTGTAGTTCAGTAGGAGCCTGAAGATACGACTAAGTTTATTCACTGTAAAGCTAATATCAGGCCTGGTTAAAGTAACATATTGTAGAGCTCCAATAGTACTTCTATAAAGACTGGGGTCTTTAAACACTCACTATCAGCTGCAAATAGTTTGGTGCCTGCTGCCATGGGAGTAGGACAGTCATGTGCCTCTTGCATCTGGTTTTGACAAGTAAATCATGGACATATTAGTTTGTTTTAGTGTAGACCTACAGCTGACCTGGTTGCTTCTAAGCCCAAAAAAAATGTGACGCCCCAAGAGTTTTTGAGGCAAATTGGCTGTTTAAATCATGAACAAGCTGCTGAATTTTAGATGAACTGAAACCAGTTATTATATGTCATCCACATATATGGAACATATAAAATTTCAAGTTGTCCTTGAGAACGAACAAGTTGAATCAGATATTGAATTCTGAAATCCCTTGTGGACCAATGCTTGTTTTAGTTTGTCAAACCAGGCTTGTGGGGCTTGTTTAAGACCTAGAGAGCCTTGTTAAGTTTACAACATGGGAAGACAAGTGAGAGACTTCAAACCTTCTGGTTGTCTCATATAGACTGTTTCATTCAAATGACCATTAAGGAAGGCATTGTTCACATCCACTTGTTGTATATCCCAACCATAAGTGACAGCCAATGTGAAAATGATTTGAATTGTTGCTGGTTTGACAACGGGGCTAAAGGTTTCAAAATAATCTAAACCAGGAGTTTGTTGAAATCCTTTAGCAACCAACCTAGCGTTATACTTTTGAAGAGATCCATCAGCATGATACTTAATTCGAAACACCCACTTATTACCAACTATGTTCATACAAGTCCGAGGAACTAGGCTCCAGTTTCATTCTTAATAAGAGCATCGAACTCATCTTGCATGGCCTTTTTCCACTCATCACAACAAGAGCTTTAATAACTGTACCAGGTTCAGGTTTAACAGGTGAAGACTTGACCAGGGTAAGGCAGTGGAGATTGAGTTGTTGTTTTGAGACTTGGTGACTGTGGTGGATGTATAGGGTTAAGAGACTGTTTGTAGGTGTAAATTCACGGGTTTTTACTGGGACAGACCTTGGGCAAGGGATGTTGAGGGCTGATTCTTGTTCTGGTGTGGGTGTTGGTTGAAAGGGCCGGTTGGTGGGTGATTGTGGTTAATAGAAGCAACAAGAGCAGGTATTTCATTTACTGAAACAGGGTCTGATGGAATGGGTAAGACCTGGTCAGGGTAGGCTAGTTGAGGGTAAATGACTGGTTTTGGTCTGGGGAGCATAGGATGTGTATTAGTGATCAGAGGCTGGTTGGTAGATTGATTATGAGGAATTTCAGGTGCACGTAGGAATTTCAGATTGAATGCACTGTGATGGAGTTAAGTCAACAACAAGGAGTGATCAGTGAGTTTCTGAGCTGACTGTGTAAAATGTGAAGATATAGAAGGCTTTGTAATTGTGGAATTGGGAAGATGATAGCAAGATAGATCTATTTCTAATGGAATGTATGTGAAACAGAAGATGAAATGAGAGTAGGTAATGAGGAAGTATAGGTATCAGTTGTTAGGTGGAGTTTTTGAGGATGGTTTAGGAATAGATGGACTGTGACTAAGTTATTAATGTTCTGAAATGAGGAACTAGAAGTTGACTTGTTAGTAGTGAGAAAAGATTAGGAAAAGAACAGTCCACTGCAGAGGAGACTTTGCTGGTGTACCATTAGAAAAGGGAATAGAAACAAAAAAAACAAGTAGAAGCTATGAGGTACTGCTGCTTTGAGTGAAGAAAGACAAGAACTAGACATAGGTTACTAAAACCAGTAGCAAAAGGGAACTCAGTTCATTAAACGAACACTAGGAGTAATGACAATTTTTCCCTCTAAACTAAGACATTTGTACACTTTATCTTAAACTATATCCCAGGAAAACACATTTAGAAGAATGAAAATTCAACTTGTGTTTATGAAAATCTCTCAAAAAAGGAAAACAAGCACAACCAAAGATTTTTAACTCAGAATATACAGGAATTCTATTGTAAAGAACCTGATATGGTGACACAAAACCAAAATGGAGCTAGGCATTCATTATAAGAACACAGCAGTATCAAATGCACACCACCAAAAATGTAACGGCATAGATGCATGGGCTATAAGGTCAGACCTGTTTCTGCTATATGTTTGTGCTTCCGTTCACTTCTCCCATTTTGTTGGTGTACATAGGCACAAGAATGTCTAAGTTGGATTCCAGCAGTGGTAAGATAAGGAATTAAACCCATATTCTCCTCCTTGGTCAGACTGTAAGATTTTGAGTTTAAAACCAAGTTGTCTTTCAACTAATGGTGAAATTTGATAAAAGTGGACTGAACTTCAGCTTTGGTTCTTAGGGAAACATCCAGGTAAACCTACTGTAGTCATCAATGAAAGAATGTAATATTTGAAACCTTCTAAGGAAGCTACTGGTGCTGGTCCCCAATGTCACTATGAACTATTTCAATGGGCTGTGAAGCTCTAGAGGTTGAACTAGGAAAGTGATTTCTATGTAGTTTTCCTAATTTGCATGCATCACAAAAACCTAATGATGAGACTGGTTCTGAAGGTCTTGGATGAATGTTTGATAGGATTTTACTTAATACATCAGTATGTGGGTGTCCTAAACGATTATGCCAAAGGGACAGTGCATTGTTCCTAGTATTACTAGCCTGAAAAATTGTGGCAGCATGTGACAAGAAGAGCTTTTGTCATAGCATAATTTTCAGTATCATTCAACATAGAATCAGTATTTGCATTAACATCATCATAGAATTTTCATTATCTTTCAACATAGATGTAGAATGTGCATTATATTAACCACAGAAGCAACATGCAAGACAGAATCAGAATAGTTTTGTTCAGACTAGAATAATTATCAAGGTCAGAAGTATTATCAGAGATTCTACCAGAATTATCAACCAAATCAGAGATGTTATTATTATTAGCAGAAATTCAAAAACATCAGAAATGCAGCAGTAGAACAAAACATATCAGACTCAGAATTATCGGATTTAAACCAGAGTGTTCTAAACATTGTGTTTTATTAATGAAGTCAGGAGTACAATCATTTGCATATGAGATATGACTTTGAGTGTTACAAAATAATTGTGAACCTTGCATCCTATGATTGTTATTACAATAGCATTCATTGGACTGCTAATCAGTTTATTACACTTGACATTAGCATCTTGAAAGTTATTCAGAGAACTAATAGACTGAGGCAACCTATGACTATACTGATTATCAGTACCTACTGGCTTATTTGAAGACAATGTATGACAAACCTAGAACTCAAAGCAGTTGACTTTTCTAGACCACCAGAAGTGTAACCAGAGGAGAAGCAAGAAGGTATGTGCAATTGGTACAGACTAGCCTTAAGTCCTCCCTGCAGAACACTGCCTTGTAGCCTTGTCCTTAACAATACAACAATCAGAGTCAAATTCCACAGTTACTTGATTATCTTTAGTGAATCTAGAAATACTAAGAAGATTTTTAGTTATTCTAGGAACACACAACACATACGCAAATGTAAACACTAGATTGAAATGAATTGGAAACTAAAGTGGAACCTATAGAGATATATGGAGAGACTCACCGTTACCAACTTGTAGTTGCTCAACTCCATCATAGGGTCTGCTGGAAATTAGTTAAGTAGGATCAGGAGTTACATGGTCAGTAGCTCCTGAGTCCATGTACCAGGCTGGATCAACAGGAGCAGTAAACAACAGTCATGTGTGTTTGAGGATAATGATTTGGGGAAGGTGGTTGGTTGGACACAAGAAAGGCTTGGTTAGGAGCTTGGTTAGGAATTGTATTTTGGTAGGAGTTTTCTGACTAGGGCATGAAACCCTTGCTGTTGATGAGTAAAAAATGGTGTGCCTTGCAGATTGATGTGTTGTTGTTGACTGTGTAAGTGGAATTTGTAGTTGACTGAGATGAGGGATCATAGGATCCAGTAGTGGGACCAACAACATGGCGCTTCCAGAATGAGAACTATAGTGTCTGGCAGTATTATAATGCTGCTGATTTCCAATCGAGGTCCATAAATCCATTATGAAAGGCTGGACTAGAACCACCTTGTCCTGACATGTTACTTGAGGAGGTACACCAGTGTAAGTAGAATTGTAGCGGTGATAATGTGAGCCGCTATATGGCCGATCTTACTGCAAACTTGACAATAGGCTTGCCTCTGCCATTGTTTCTTCCTCTGCCTCTCCCAAAAACAGGTCTGTATGAGGAGTAATAATGCTTGAATTTCCACCAAAATTTCCAAAGTTTGATCCAGGATCATTCAAACTAAACTGAGGATAACTCTGAGAACCTATGGGAGGATTAGGTAAGCCTTGCAGTTAGACTGATTATTCGTGATCAAATTAGAAGTACCAATAGGTGCAGAGGAAACCTTAGCATTGATAGGCACTGAATTTTTTCCACTATTTGAATTTTCAAGAGAAGCAACATTGACCGAACCACCATGAAACTCCACAGAATTAAACCTATCAAGCCGCAACTCATATTTTTGCAACAAAAACTGAGCCTCTTGCAAAGTAACCGGATCAACCGTAGATTCTACTCTGGAGGTCAGATTGACAACAACAGCGTCAAATTCTGGACCTAAACCATCTAAAATATGTTGAAGAAGATCTTCATCTGAGATCACTTGACCACTCGTAGACAGGCTTTCAGCAATGCCTTTCATTTTCTTAACGTAATCATGAATATTCAAATTGCCTTTTTGAGTTATCTGAAGCAAATTCTTCAAATGTAAGGCTCTGGCCTTTGACTCAGTTACAAAATCAGCTTCTAGCTTAAACCATACTTCAGACGCAAACTGACATTTTGCAACAAGAGTGAACATGCACTCAGAAATTGAGGCAAGAAGCCAAGTGACAAGAAACTTGTCAGTTCGTTTCCAGTTTACATAAGCTGGTTAAGCTTTTCTTTATCTAGGGTTCAGATGCTTTACTATCACTCAACTCAATTGAACAAGAAACAGAGCTAATAAAAGGAGCTGGACAGGGAATTAAACCTGTCAAGTGTTCTTCGAGTTCATGAGCTCCTACAGCGAAGAGGACTTGCGATCGCCAGAATCGGTAATTATCAGTGTAGCTACTCTCGTCAGTTTGGGAGTGACAACCTGAAGACTTGACGAAAAATTGAGAGCTGAGGATTAGCTGAAACGTTCTGCATTTTCTCCATTGAAGCTGAGAAGAGAAAGAAAAGAAATTAATTTCTCAGATCGTTGCCGTCGACGCTTGTCTCAGGCTCTGATACCATGTGAAACTGAAAAACTAAAAGAGAGAAAATTGAAAAATGCTGAATCTTTTCCTATTCTCAGAGAATACATTTGTTTATATACAGAGGAAGAGAGAAGAAACTGATGTTAAGAATAAAAACTCAGCTAGACGATAAGCCAGAGAGTAAAGTTTTCTTCCTTCTCAAAACGACGCCGTTCTCTCTTTTGTAGATTTGCAGTTTTACGAAACTGCCCTCTTTTCAGTCTGGCTAACATATTTAAGTTTTTTTTTTACTATGTTTAATTGTCTATCACAGAAGAAATATACAAAATCAATGTTTAAAAAAAGCTTGAAATAATCCCTCGCGGGATAACTCCTAACCAGGAGAAAAATGGGGATGGGGTGATCCCCCAAAGGGTTAGGGACTGGGTTGAGGACCCCATTCCTCGGCTCCGACCCACCCCACGCCCATCTCTAACCCCAAGCCTGATTTTTCACGCCTAAGCCCAGATGCAATCTATGCCCGGGTTAGGTCGAACATAGGTTGGGTCACCTTGAACCCAGGCTAGGTGGAGTAACTTTTACGTTCCTACTTGCACTAAATTTTCTATTTTTGATAGTGAGTTCTCTTTCGCGGAGGTAGACTTGTTTCGCTGAAGCACATTAAATTGACATGTGATTGTGTTTTTATTTTCTCTTATATGTTTTTGTCGTGCATTAACTCTTAGTAAGTGATGAGATAGACCGATTTTACGACAATTACCAAATGATAAGTCTATGTTTAGTGCATTGTATAATATATAGTCTTATTCTTATATGATATGATATTGTATTATGTTGAATACTGTTGTACAATATACAGTATATAGTAATATGTTTGGTATCTCATTATATCGTATGAATTAAGATTTGTTTTTAATTAAAAATTTTAAATATATTTTTAAATCTTATAATTCATTAAAAAAATTAATTTCACTTGCTATTTAGTATTCTAAATTATTTATTAAAAAATTTGAAAACAAATGTCATTAATCAGCGCCACCATGATTGATGTGGCCAGCCAATCTATCTATTGATGCTCGACAATGTACTCCAATCTTTGTGTATAATCTTCTCTTCAACTTGGTATAAGAGCTATAATAAGAATTATCAATCTAAAAACCAAACATTTTTTAGGAACTCCACCACTAGGATAACAATCAAGGCAGGTGGAGACAAAATCGCAATCAGCATTCCAACCTCTCCGAAGGAATTGACATCACCATCCCAAGCCCAACCTCAAACTGACCGATTCAAGGATAGGGCAGGGTCCCCAAATATGGATGGCGATTGGCGACCCCATAGGTTAAATCCCAAATATATTTTTAAAAAAAATTAGTATTTTTTTTATTATTATAATTTATAAGACCATCTAAAAGTTTTTATAAAATATTAAATTTATAATTATCTTTTTTTTCATGCTTGTTTTATTTAAGCCATTAAAAAAAAGTGATTTATATTCATTGTCACTAATTATATATTAACTAAGTCTTATATCCTAACTATATAAAAATAATATAATTAAAAATTACATTAAAGATTTAAGAAACTAAATTGTCCATTCATGATAATCACATACACACATTTTACACATAAAGTTCACCTGGACACATATTTTGCATATAATTCATGAAAGTTCACTAAACTAGTCCCAATGATGATCAAATTCATAAAAAGTTTTAACATATAACACCAAATGCTTCTTTTCACCTTAATATCCTTAGTATAGATAGCCTTGTACTTGTTTTCTTCTCTTTATCAAATATAAAATCGAGATTAGATATTGTTCTTGTTTACAGATGTATAATTTTTGCTAGTACCGTTTCGGGAGTTGGACCCATTTCGATTTAAAACTTAGACCTACGTTGTTTAGTGTATTAAGACATGCAATAAATAATAGAACTTTTAAGATGTTATTTAACCCTTGAGTTCATATTTCTTTTTTTATTTCACTTGTGTTTTTGAAGTTTGAAGTGTGAAAAGATTTAAAATGATTTAGGAGAGGAGTAGAACTGAAATGGTTCCTTATTAAAGGTTAGCTGGATGGTTATACACGTGGTTTGCTCCCACAAAGTTTAGGTTTGAGCCTCCTTAAGTAAACCTACTTAATGAAATATTTCAGGGCTCGGTGGGGGCTTTAGTTTCAAACGTGGGTTAGATTGCATAACAAATTTGAGAATTTCTTGATTATCAAAAGAAGATCATAGGGTTTGACGGAGGCTTTAATTTCTAAGGTAGACTTGTAAAGCAAGTTCCAAGGAATTCGGTGTGCAGCTTGTAGCTTTTAGCTGCAACGGAGGGACAAATATTGGTGCTCGAATCTTTCTCTTCTTTTTGTGATCAAAGTATTCATTGGCAGTTTTCGACATGAGATATAAAGGGGTAGATGAAATCTAAAAGTTGATTCAAACGACAAATATCATTTTTAACATTCTCTAATAAAAGAAACTCGATCTCATAATTTTAACAAGAAAGTACATGTGTTTGAGATACTTCAAAGAGATAGATGAAGCCTCTAGCAACTTCGTAGGAATATTATAATAGAAGGTAATGTTGGAGTTGAATATTCGATTGAGAAGATAAAAATTTGGAGTTAGAAACCAAACAAATTCTTCAAAGAAATTTTTTTTATTGAAGAGGTTGAATACGTAAGTTGAAATTGATTCACCATTATGGCTGGCATTTACAAACGGTATTTTCAGAAGTTTAGATAATTTTGAATTTCAAGAAAGACTGGAGATGAAGGCTCTAATGGATAACGTATTAAAATTCTACAAATATTCTGATTTACTATATATATTATCCACCAAATTAGGTCTTGAAGATTACATATCAAGATTACGATTTTGTTGTGAATGGTTCAAAACTAATTGCCCAGGATTTCAGTTTTATTTTAAATTTTAAAAATAAGTTACTGATTTTATGTGAATAGATATCAAGAAAACCAGTATGTATTGTAATGGTTATTTTCATGAATAGTAATATACAGAAAAGGAGGAATTTCTTTTATTCTTGTTTCTTTACATTAGGGATAATATTTGAAATATTTGTTAGTATAATCTTTCCTTCATTATTTTTATTAAATTAAGCGGTAAATTAAAAAAAAAAAAAAAAAAAAATATGTATAGTATCTTAAATCTGAATAGATTAAGAAATAATGAGAGAAAAATATAAACACACCTTAATCTCAATTCAAAAAGCTTAATTTTTGTTGACATACTCACGAATCAAGATTGAAATAGTAAAATGCTTTATTTTTATTGAATGAATTACCAATTTTGTTCGATTAACCAAAAAGAAAAGAAAAAAGAAGAAAACACTAATCAATTTGGTGAAACATTCCCTTGCAAAATTTTCAAACAATGAACATATCAGTTCCAAGTTTAAATTCACTTAAACCTTAATTAGAATCCATGCGTTTATTATTTTAAATAGTAATATTTCAACTCGGAAAAATGAGGTGAGGAAACTACTTCCCATGTGAGGATTCATTCCATCCTACTCAAATTAATAATGGTAACACATAATTCTCTAGAGTCGACTATGCTTAATTCCTTTAATTCATAAAAAAACTATTAAACTTATTTTTCATATTTACTACGTTTGCGACAAATCTCAACCATATACTGTACTACCAAACTCTTCGAGTGTGAAAGAAAGTTTAAAGATTTAAAGAACAATAAGGGTTTGAGCTTTTAGCTGCGACGGGAAGACACATATTTGGTGATAAAATATTTCACTGCTTTTTGTGGTCAAAATAAGTTTTCTATTATTGACAAATTTCCATGTAAGTTATAAAGGGGTAGATGAGACCTAAAACTCATGGTCTCACACCATTAACAAGTTTTTCGAATTACAATTGAAGGGCTATAAAAAAAATGAAAAAAGTTATTGGTTGATCAGACAGATATCATTTTAAACAGTTTCTAATTAAAGCAATTGAATCTCCTAATTAACTTGAACAATAAAGTACATGTGTTTGTCTGTTTGAGATACTTCAACAAGATAGATGTTGCCTTTAACAACTTGGTGGTATCTTAAATGTGAATAGTATTTCTTTCCCTTTAAAGCAGATTTTTTTCCCTTCGTTATCTTCATTGAAAAAAGGGTAAATCCAAAAAAAAAAAAAAAAAAAGGGAAAATATTTGTAGTATCTTAAATGTTAATAGAGTAAAAAATAATGAGTGAAAAATATAAAAAACACCTTAATCTCAATTGAAGAAGCTTAATTTCTGTTAAAGTCATGAATCGAGATTGAAATAGTAAAATGCTTTACTTTTTATTGAATGAATTACCAATTTTTTTGGATTAACCAAAAAGAAAAGAAAAAAGAAGAAAAACTAATCAATTTGGTGAAACATTCCCTTTCAAAATTTTCAAACAATGAACATATCAGTTCAAAGTTTAAATTCACTTAAACTTTAATTAGAATCCATGCGTTATATTATTTTAAATAGTAATATTTCTACTCGGAAAAATGAGGCGAGGAAACTACTTCCCATGTGAGAATTCATTCCATCCTACTCAAATCAATAATGGTAACACATAATTCTCTACAGTATGCTTAATTCCTTTAATTCATAAAAAACTAATAAACTTATTTTTCATATATACTACGTTTGCGCCAAATCTCAACCATATACTATACTACCAAACTCATCGAGTGTGAAAGAAAGTTTAAAGATTTAAAGAGCAATAAGGGTTTGAGCTATTTCCGGAACAAAAAAGGGTTTATGTAACCACTAAACCCTCCAATTATAGTAAATTATATTATAATATAATTCACAATGATGTACGTAAGCTATTCCGCTGGTTTAGTGCCAAGTATCCTTCTAAGAACAGTTAACAACCAACTGCCAAGAAAGATCAGGTACTACCGTAGTTTACTTTTCTTTCTTTTTTCATTTTAGTCGCTTTCATTATTTTCCAAGTTGGGTACTTAAAAAGATTCCTTATTTATATCCTTTTTTTTTTTTTTTTTGAGCAGCATGTGTAAAACATGCACGATGAATTATTGTGATAGGTGCTTATATATATATATATATATAAACTAGCCATGCACGAAGAATAACAACAAAACTCAAGTCAAGATAAGAATAATTAGACTAGAGCCAAAATGATGTCGGTGGATGAAATTCGAAAGGATCAACGTGCTCAAGGCACAGCCACAATCCTGGCAATTGGAACAGCAAATCCTCCACATTTTATTGAACAAAGTAAATTTCCTGATACTTATTTTCGCATGACCCATGACGACCACATGATCGAACTCAAAAAGAAAATGCAACGCATGTGTAAGAATGCCTCATTTTATTCTTTATTTTTATTGCTTGTTTTATTTCTATTTCTATTATTATTGCTCTTTTACTTTTATTTCTGTTTCTATTTGTAATTTTATTGTTACTAATATTTTGCTATTAGCTATCTCTGATGTAAGATTTCACATTTATAGCCGTCATAACATCTAATTGGTCCCATATTCATGTTTACTTTGAAATATTAAGAAGATTGTAGGTTTTATTTTCACTGCATACAAAATGGACCAATGGTCCTTTAAAAAAGAATTTTGAACATTAAAAATAACTTAATATTATGTTATATATCGTGATATAAAAGTAGATCTCTTTACAGAACTTAAAGGTTTTTTATTTTTATTTTTTTTAAATAGTAATAATAATTATCAAAAACATTTCTCTCATTAATTTCAAAAAAAGGAAAATATTTTACAAAAACGAAACGGATTATACCCTTAGTAATAGAACACTGAAGGTTTGTTATAAGACATTAGTAAAATACATGATAGATTCTTGATCTAGATTTTATTATTATTATGCAATAGACCTCACTAACCTTAGATTAAGATTTGAAACGATTTATTAAAAATCTAACTATGTGCCTATGTCTTTGAATTGTGAATACTTTACAATTGCATATATGTTGAGAGAACAAAATAACCAAGATATATTCAACAATTTCAGGTGATAAAACCATGATAAGAAAACGACACATGTACGTCAACGAAGAGTTTGTAGAAGAGAACCCGATTATACGTGAACATAATGCGCCTTCATTGGATATTAGACAAGATATATCAGCTGTACTAATATCAGAGTTAGGCAAGGAAGCTGCTGAGAAGGCGATCAAGGAATGGGGCCAACCAAAGTCAAAAATCACTCACTTAATTTGTTGTACCACTATGGCTGCATTCTTGCCCGGGATTGACTACCGAATTCTCAAGCTATTAGATCTTGACCTATCTGTTAAGCGAATGATGTTGTATCAACAAGGTTGTAATGGGGGTGGCACTGTACTACGAATGGCCAAAGACATAGTTGAGAACAATAAAGGTGCCCGTGTCTTGATTGTGGTTTCTGAGGTAACCTTGATTGGCTTGCGTGGCTTTAGTGAGACTGATATGGATGTTCTTGTGAGCCATTCCTTATTTGGTGATGGGGCAGCTGCTCTTGTCGTTGGTGCAGATCCAATGCCAGGTGTTGAGAAGCCCATCTTTGAACTAATCTCTACATCCCCAACAATAGTGTCCGATAGCGCTGGGGCAATTACTGGGAGTATTCGTGAGAGTGGACTAATAATTCATATTGGGAAAGAAGTTCCAGGCCTTATTGCAAGCCACATTGAGAAGAAACTGATTGAGTTATTCCAACCTCTGGGTATCTCTGATTGGAACTCAATCTTTTGGGCTATACATCCTGGTGGGCCTGCAATATTGGATAAAATTGAGGCCACGCTAGGACTTAAGCCTGAAAAACTACTTGCAACAAGACATGTGCTTGCAGAGTATGGTAATATGTCAAGCGTGACTGTACTGTTTGCTTTGGATGAGATGAGGAAGAGGTCAATTGAAAATGGGCTTAAGACCACAGGAGATGGGTCGGAATGGGGAGTGCTATTTGGATTTGGTCCTGGGCTTACTATTGAAAGTTTGGTTCTCCACAGTTGCGATACAAATGCCCCAACAACCTTGAATGGCGTTAAAGACTAAGCCTTGGATGGCCTACAAAGTTTTTTGAGTTTCCTACGTTTCTATGTTTTCAATCGTTGGTCCTACTGATCTTAGAGTTTATATTAATCATTGTATGTGCAAGAGTGAGCGAAACTAACGATATTCTGAAATTTTCAATTTGTACTTTTTAATTTTCATTAATAAAAGTATCTTCTATTTCAGAAAAAGAAAACTTACGTAATACTTTAATTTTCTTTTCCATTGTGCTTGAAAATTTGAAGAAATATGTTTCAAATTAACAAGCTTACTTGAATTCTGAACTCTTATGTTCTTTTTTTATTGTTATCATTTTTTTTTTCTTCAAAAGCACATGGTTAATTACTGTGTTTTGACATGCTACTTCACAAGAGACAGTCAAACAATTACGCAATGAAAGGGATTTGTAAATGGAAATAGCGGCAATATAAGTTTATTCTAGTTGTACAAGTAATTTAGGAAGTGACTTGTTTCCCTCTTTTGTCTATCAACTATGTTTTGTTCTAAAATTCATTTTGAACCACAAAGTTACTCATTGTCCTTTTACAGACTACCTTATAAGTAAAGATAATAATACAGTTACAAAGTGGAAATGATCTACAAATTCAGTAAGAGGTTAAAATATGTTTTTAATTACTTTGATTTGGGAGAGATCTACTATTCCTCAACTTTTCTGTTTTTGTTTTAATGAATACATCACTGCTCACTTTGTTCTTATAGGCTGCTTTAGAAGAGACAATCAAACCATTACAGATGCAAGATGAGATAATGTAAAGTGAATCTAATTTATTATCAGAACTGAAAGGAAACGCTTTAGGAGCCTTTATTTGGATCATTGTGTGGTTTGCATTCTGCCTTATGTGTGGTTTATATATAAATATATATATATTTTTTAAATAAATATTGAACAAATTTTAGGATTTCGTTTGGTATTGCTGACAAACTTTTTTAAAAATAATTTAGGACATTTTTGTTAGAACGATTGGAACACTCATTTTTCATTTTTATCACAATAAAAAAAAAAAAAAAAATCTTAGATAATGAATTGAAGCAAATGAAAACCTTAGTACATCATAAATCACAGATAAATCTTTTGTGGATTTATTCAGAATCTATGAATTTCTTTATTGCAAATATTATTGAGTTGCTAATGAAAATATATAACCAAGACATATTCAATAATTTCAGGTGATAAAACTTTTAGAGCTGTAATAATAAAAATAAAAATTAAAAAAATAAACTTATTGATTGATCAGACAAATATCATTTTAAACATTTTCTAATTAAAGCAACTGGATCTCCTAATTTGAACAATAAAGTACATGTGTTTGAGATACTTCAACAAGTTAGTAAAGGAGGACTCTCCTATTGAAGACCACTTATGCTAGAGTAATATGATTATATTTAACTTTGTATTTAAATCTTTTTTAATTTGTAATTTGTTTTTGTATCTTATCTTCTAGCTGTTCCTTGTATATAGGAGTGGATTCAAGTCTGTTGGTTTTAGCAATACTCTGCTGTGTATTTATATCAAAATTATCTCAATAGAAAAATATACCAGAATTCTATCTAAAATCTTCTGCCTTTATGGTATCAGAGCATTGATTTTTTTTTTTTTTTTTTTCTCCTTCTTTCTTTTCTGAACTCGTCATCATGGCAACCACCATGGCAACCAACACTTCCTCTGCTTCCACAACACCAAACACTTCCATCCACAACACCAATGAATCACACAATACTTTAATCAGTATTAACATTGCTGCTCAAGCCCCTCTCAAACTCATTGGTGATAACTATATCCCTTGGAAACTTCAATTTTAGACTCTCTTCATTGGATACGATCTACTCAGGTATATTGACGGATCGAAACCATGCCCAGCTGCAACTATTATTCAGAATGAAACAACAATACCAAATCTAGCTCACACACTCTAGATTCGGTGCGGTCAACTAATCCTCAATACCATTGTTGGTTCTCTCTCTCCTACTATTATTTCATTCATTGCTAGAGCTAACACTTCAAAGCAAGCATGGACTGTACTAGCCAATACTTATGGCAAGCCTTCTCGGGGACAAATCAAACAGATAAAAAGCCAACTTAAAAATCTCACCAAGGACTCACAAACTATTTCTGAATTCCTACAAATAGTTAAAGCTCGCGTCGATGAACTTGCGATACTTAAAGTACCACTTGATGATGAAGATCTAACTGAGAAAATACTTGATAGTCTTGGTGATGACTACAAAGAGCTTTTGCGTGTAGTTCAGGCCAGAGACAATCCAATTGGATTTGATGAACTTCATGAAAAGTTATTAAGTTTCGAATCATCTCTTCAATGCACCAAGTATGTTCCCTCTTATTTCCCAGCTTCTACTAATCCTGCCAGTCGCACCAATACAATTTGGCAACCCTCATCTAATCCTACCAATACTGGTTGGCGTTCCTCATTCAAACCTAGTGTCAACAAAATGGGCTGGCGCCCATCGCCCAACTCTGGTCCCTTCCCCGTGTCTACCAACGCTGGGCCTAACTCACCCCGTCTACCACCATTCGACTTGTTCTAAGTCTTGTCGTCAGTCACGGTTGGTCCATTTGTCAACTTGATGTTTATAACGCATTCTTGCAAGGTCATCTCAGTGAGACTGTGTATATGAGTCAACCAATGAGGTTCATTGATCGTGACTTTCCATCACATGTATGTAAACTACAGAAAGCTATCTATGGGCTAAAGCAAGCTCCTCGCGCCTGATATCAAGAACTCCATATTTTTCTTCTTCAATCTGGCTTTACAAATTCTCATGCTAATACATCTCTCTTTGTCTTCAACTCTGGTAGGCATATCTTATATTTGCTTGTTTATGTTGACGATCTAATCATTACTGGAGATAATGTGACAATAGTAGATTGATTTGTTCATTTATTAGCCAGACAATTCTCTCTTAAGGACCTTGGGCTGCTCTCTTACTTTTTGGGTGTTGAGGTTATTCCAAATCAGCATGGTTATTTGCTTTCTCAATGTCGTTATCTGCTGGATCTTCTTGCTTGTACTCATATGTCTGATGCTAAACCGGTGCAAACTCCTCCGTCCACTAGTTCATCACTTTCGTTGCAGTCTGGCACTAGCTTATCTGATCCTGTCAACTTTCGGGTAGTTGTGGGAAGTCTACAATATCTCCTACTCATCCGCCTTGACATTGCTTTCGCTATTAATAAATTATCTCAGTATATGCACAAGCCAACTACTGAACACTAGGCTCTTGTCAAACGTTTACTATGATATCTTTGTGGCACACTTAATCATGGACTTCAGCTCTATTGTGACTCTCCCATCTCTCTGCACACCTTTTTCGTCATCGATTGGGCAGGCAACAAAGATGACTTTTACTCCACTAGCGCTTATATTTTCTATCTTTGTCGCAATCCTATCTCCTGGAGTTCCAAGAAACAAAGAATAGTAGCTCTTTCTTCTACTGAGGTAGAGTACCAGTTTGTTGCTAATACCACTACTGAAATAAATTGGGTTTGCTCCTTGTTAACTGATCTTGGACTTCAGCTTCCTACATGCCCAGTGACTTACTATGATAGTATTGGAGCCACTCAATTGTGCTCTAATGTTTTTCATTCTAGGATGAAACACGTGGCTATTGATTTTCATTTCATTCGTGATCAGGTGCAAAATGGGACTCTACGAGTTGCTCATGTATCTTCCACAATTAGCTGATTTTCTTACTAAACTTGTTTTCTCTTTCTTAGAGACAAGATTGGTCTCTCTTGTCGAGCTCTATCTTCAGGGGACAAAAAGGAGGACTCTCCTATTGAAGACCGCTTTTGCTGGAGTAATCTAATCAGATTCGACTTTGTATTTAAATCTTTTTGAATTTGTAATTTGTTTTTGTATTTTATCTTATAGCTGTTCCTTGTATATAGGAGTGAGTTAAGATCTGTTAGTTTTAGCAATACTTTGTTGTGTATTTATATCAGAATTATCTCAATAGAGAGATATACCAGAATTCTATCTAAAATCTTCTTCCTTTAGTTAGATGTTGGCTCCAACAACTTGGTTGCAGTATTATAATAGTATTTCTTTCCCTCTGAAGTAGAATTTCTTTCCTTCATTATTTTCATTGAAAATAGTGGTAAATACCAAAAAAAAAAAAAAAAAAAAAAAAAAAAAGAAGACGAAAATATGTGTAGTATTTTAAATCTAATGGAGTAAAAAATAATCAATGAAAAATTTAAACACACCTAATCTCAGTTGGAATCTCAATTGAAGAAGCTCAATTTTTGTTACACACTCATGAATCAAGATTGAATTAGTGTAGACGATAAAATTTACGGTTGATTCGGAAGGGACATATCTTGTATGAAGCGGGCCACTGACAATCAGATGGACTTGCACAGAAAGGAAGAAAAACGTGAAGGTTTGGGTGACATCGGTGTGGTGTTTGCCACAGGCACTCCAACGCTTAAGTCAACATGGTTGAAAGTATTTAGTGAGGGTTGAGAGCGGGAAGGGTTTACCGTAATAATGTGGCTAGGGCTAGACTAACACAAAGTGGTTGAAAGTATTTAGTGAGGTTGAGAGCGGGAAGAGTTTACTGTAATAATTTGGCTAGGGCTAGACTAACACAATGTGGTTGAAAATATTTAGTGAGGGCTGAGAGCAGGAAGAGTTTACCGTAATAATGTGGCTAGGGCTAGACTAACACAAAGTGGTCAGAGCACAACTTTGTGGTGGCTAAAGGTGGTAAAGTTATTCAGAATTAAGCTTTTCGGCGGAGAAAACAGTGATTCTTGGAAGCAAGAATTTAGGAGCTAAAGCTATGGGTGATTTCTGAATGAATAATGAGAGGTCTGACCTCTATTTATATAGTGAACCAAAGAGGTTTGAGTCCTAGTAGAACTTTGAATCCTACTTGGTAGATGAGTCTCCATTAGGAAGGAAGTGTTATCACTTGCCTTTAGCAGATTAGGGTTACCACTTCAAGTAAAATCCTAGATCTTGATTGAAGTGGGAAGTAAATACAATTCTGATTCATATTCTTGGACTCTTGTGGGCTAATGGGCTGGAACCCGATTTAGTTTAACTTGTAGGATAGTCTAACTCATAAAGTAG